TCTGCGCTTTCACTGGGAGCTGCAATCCTGAGCTGTTCCTAAACGGCTATCTTGGATCTCTTTTTTTTTTTTTTTTGAGACGGAGTTCCGCTCTTGTTACCCAGGCTGGAGTGCAATGGCCCGATCTCAGCTCACCGCAACCTCCACCTCCTTGGTTCAGGCAATTCTCCTGCCTCAGCCTCCTGAGTAGCTGGGATTACAGGCATGCGCCACCATGCCCAGCTAATTTTTTGTAGTTTTAGTAGAGACGGGGTTTCACCATGTTGACCAGGATGGTCTCAATCTCTTGACCTCGTGATCCACCCGCCTCGGCCTCCCAAAGTGCTGGGATTACAGGCTTGAGCCACCGTGCCCGGCTAGAATCAGTTTTCTATGTATCTAAATCCACCAGCCGAAGACCACCATGAACACATCCATAGTCAAAGTTACATTTATTTAGCCTATCTCAACAGGAACCCTTACGAGCCTCTTAGGCAGAGTTGGGAGCTCTTCATAATGTTTGGTCATATGCTGGATGAGTCCAAGGAGGGGTTACAGAAGTGACAACCAGCTCTGGATTGGATACTGTCAAGATATAGGGACACCCAGAAACGACATCTCATGATGATTGTTCAGAAGGAGGGGCCGTTATTCACCTTGTCATTGTGTTATTGTCCTCTGGGGCTCTGTTGGAAGCACTGCTTACCTCCTGTTGGCCTTATCCGTATTTCTCTGGAAACATTGCCCTCTGTTAGAACATTAAGATTGACTGTCAGTGGTGCCAGTTTTCACTTTCTCATAGCCGTGAATGTGATGAGCTCATATAGAGCCATTGCTCTTTCTCAGAGTGCCTGCATACAGTTTGTAATTTTTAAAAATAAATATTTGTTTGATTAGTGTTTTTTCCTACTTGACCAGAAGCTTCATGAGAGCAGGGACCTGTTCTCCTTTTGTTCACCATTGTGTCTGTAGCACTGAGCACAGTGCCTGATATAAAGTAAATGCTTAGTAAATATTTACTGAAAGAGTGAATGAATGAATGATGGGACCTAAAAAATTAGTGGCTAATCAAAGACAAGAAGTCGTTTAACAATTTATGATTTCCTTACAGTTAAAGAATAATTGTCTTTTTGAAACAGATTATTTGCAGATACAGCCTCTCTCCAACCTAAGGAAAAAAACAGAATTCCAATATTTGAGAATTAAATGTGTTTACTAGTGCCTAATGTCTAAGGTCCTTTAAGAGTAATTTATCAAATATATGTTATCATACCTTCTTTACTATCATTTTTCCGAGTTCAAATTTGTAGATGCACTACATCAAGTCACAGTAAAATACAGTGATGTTGGCTGTCTGACTGCCTTTTGGAATCCTACAGATTATACAGATCTCCAAGCAACTGTGGAAACTTGATAACTATAACCAGAATGACCTGGGCATTCTGGTTCTAATTCCTAATGCTTATTCATTTAGAGCCGTGTAACCAATAATGTAATCAGGTTTCATCTAAAGGATAGTGATGTTTTCTAGGTACACTATCCATTTAATTCTTTTAAAATTATAAAGACAATGTAATGGAATTAAAGAAAAAATATTAAGCTTGACAAGAAGTAATATCTATGTCTGTAACATGGTAACTACCGTAGTCACCACTACTATAACATGGAACTATGACAAACATTTACTTTCTCACAGTTCTTGTCCTCATGCATTCACGCATTGAAGTGGTATTCTGTATTTCAGCCAGCATGTAGTTGAGTCTTTCTGAGTCTGAAGATTTCTAGTATCATACCTTCTCATGCCATCTAATCCCATATGGGGATTAGAACCATAGAATTTACAAGTCCAATATGCTTTAGGAGGCTAGCCTATCCTCAGGCTGCAGAAATCTATGGCATGGACAGTAATTCATTCTTTCCATGTTTACTAAGGCTGATTCACTATGGTTTTTATGGATTACTGCATATTCCTTAGAGCAAAGACTGAATAATACATCTGTGTCTCCAAGTCACTTCTCTAAATGCTTTTTTCATATTACCCTCCTACTCCAAAATTTTCTAATTCCTGACCATATTAAATGTAAATACATTTTTCTAAATCAGCCTTGTCCGGTAGAACTTTCTGCAGTGATGAAAATTTCTTTTGTACTGTCCAATATTAGTCACTAGCCAATGTGTTAATGTAGTACTTGAAATGTGGCTAGTTGACTGAGGAACCGAATGTTTAAATTTATTTCAGTCTAATCAACTTAAATTTAAATAGCACATGGAGCTAGGGGCTACTGTATTGGGGAGCAAGACCTAAAATTTCAGATCCCTCCTAAATAACCAGGCAAGGCCAGTGTCCTTGGCCTCATATGCACCACATTTGTACTCATCATTTTTGTCTTGACTCATGGTGGCCCTCTCTTGCTTGGGTTAGTTTCTCTCAGTTCCTTTAGTTAATCCAGGCTCTCTTTGGCTTCCAAGAGTCAGAGCAAAGCTTAGCAGCTCTGTGAATTTTGCTGATCTTCCTTTCCTGGCAATGCCCACTCTGTGCTTTTCTAGTCAGATCATATGAATGAATGGAATGAATGAACGAACGAACATAGACTTTCATATATAGTAATTTGCCTTTTTTTTTTTTAATGTAAATTTATTCCATTCCCTCAACCAATTTTTATCTCTCTGAGGCCAGGACAGTGTCACATATAATTCTGTATTTCTTCTGGCACCAAAGCAGATAGTTCCCATTGAATGCTTTACTGATTACCTGATTTATTGCAAAAGAAATACAACTCTGTACCTCTGTCATGATTATTTAATCAGCCAAAAAGTATTTGGACAATGTTCATGGAATTCATTTTAAAGTTTGAAGGGAAGACCATCTCCTTGAATTCAAGGAATAAGATTGGATAAAAAGAAGGATCATAAATATGTATGAAAACTGTGATATAAGGTATGCTGAATTCCAGAGATGATGGTTAGGGGTTGTGAGGAAGTTTGGAAAATAGCTGTGATAACTTTTTTCCTATGGAAGGAAACCCTTGAAATGCTGGTCAAAGAATACAAATTTATTGCACAGAAATGAGAGGCAGGAAGGTTATTACATAGGAAGAGACATTTGAAAAATGATCATAGTGAAAGAACTAGATCTGTGGTCAGCAGTATTCTATATTTACTTCAGATCAAGAACTGGGGCTTTTGGTCATCTACTTTTGAAAAGTTTCTAAAATGTAGCAAAGCACAGCGTATATGCACTGTACATATAATTGAACATCTTGAGACCCAAGCTGCTTTGTGTGAAATACTAAACTTAGTTTCCCCGGAAAATGTACTCTTACAATATTGTGATAATGAAAATCCTTAGAGAAGGGCACAGAATAGGGTCAAACTATTACTTTATAATAGTATTTATACATGTATCTAGTGCTCACTATGTACCAGGCTCTATTCTTAGTAACTTTATTTTTTTTTAAGAAAATAGGGTCTTAGGCTGGGCTTGGTGGCTTATGCCTGTAATCCCAGCACTTTGGGAGGCCAAGATGGGCGGATCATGAGGTCAGGAGTTCAAGGCCAGCCTGGCCAACATGGTGAAACCCTGTCTACTAAAAATACAAAACATTAGCCAGGCACGGTAGCTGGTACCTGTAATCCCAGCTACTCAAGAGGTTGAGGCAGGAAAATCACTTGAACCTAGAAGGCGGAGGTTTGCAGTGAGCTGAGATTGCGCCACTACACTCCAGCCTGGGTGATAGAGCGAGACTCAGTCTCAAAAACTAAAAAGGAAATAGGGTCTTAATAGGCACTCCAGCACTTGCCTCCCAGGCTGGAGTGAAGTGATGCAATCATAGCTCACTGCAGCCTTGAACTCTCGGGCTTCAAGCGATGCTCCCACCTCAACTTTCTGGGTTGCTGGGTCCACAGGAATGAGCCACCACACACAGCTAATTTTATTTTAATTTTTGTTAAGACAGATCTTGCTTTATTGTCCAGGCTGGTCTGAAACTCCTGGCTTCAAACAATCCTCCTGCCTTGGCCTCCCAAAGTGCTAGATTACAGGCATGAGCCACTATGCCCAGCCTATTCTTAGTACTTTTTAAAAACTTATTTAATTCTTCTAATTATTACGAATAGAAATTTTATAGATGAAGAAAATGTAGCATTTGCCTCATTTTACACAGGTAGCAGGTAGAAGAGCTGGAGCTTGACCCTAGACAATCTTGTTCCAGAAACTATGTTCTTAACCACTCTACTGTATTGCTTTTTGTGTGCTATATGACCTCTGTGTAATTAGTGTTCTGTTAATTCAGAATTTATGACATTTGGAATAAGTGTTGGAGACAATAGGAAATGAAAGAGATGTATTATGTACTTGAGGAAACAGTTTCCAGTACCTCCAACACTGTAGAAACACCTGTAGACATGTGAATAACACACAGAGCACAAATGCATTTTCTGTTGAGTGTACCTCTCAGTGAGCAGGTGATGGGTGAGTTCTGTGACTACTTTTGCTGTAGTTGAAAACATATCAAATACATAACTTTCTTTCTTAGCAAGAGAATAAAATAGTTGGGATACATTGATTATTATCATTTTTGCATAATGACTTACCTATTTGTTTTAATTTCAATGACTCATATTTTGCAGAAATTTCGGAGTGCTTCAGTTGGGGCTGAGGAGTACATGTATGATCAGACCTCAAGGTGAGTTACCAGGAGATGCATTCTTAGAAACTGATTAATAACCCTTTAAATGTACCTTCAAGTTATACTTTTAAGCCTTTTTTCTTTGTAAACTTTTACAGAACAGTGTGATTTTCTTTGCTTCTGTTTTTTTCTTTATACAAAGAACTCCTATATAATTATTTCCAGTCTTGACCAATTTTCTGGGGCCTACACCCCTTTTCTTCCTTCTGTTGGCTAGACATTCCTTCTTAGGTGTTCCTCTGAACCTTGTACTCATGTGCCTCCAACCCAACAAATGTAATATGAAACTCTTTCTTTTTCTTTCTTCTTCTTTCCTTCCTCTTCCACTTGTTTCACACCTGGTGTTCTGCTTTTATTTCCTGTTGTGGCTAATGATGTACCCATTATCCAAGCCTCCCCAGCTAGAGGTAAAGGATCTGGCTTCCTTCCTATTGGACTTTCCCAGCACTTGCCAAATTATGAATTGTCTGTTCCAACTGTCATCTCTTTTCCAAATTACCCTTGTCAACTTTCTCCTGAGCTATTGCAATACATTGGATCTCCCTGCCAACCCTTCTGTTTTGTTCCACTGTGCACATAGCTAGCTACCAGCTATTGTGCACTCAAGTGCCTTCCACGTGCTGCAGTGTGAGTAGGATTGGGGATAAGATATAATCTCTCCTTACAAGAGGTCCATACACTTTTTGAGGAGACAAATGTGATGGCAGACGAATTGCAAAATATTTGCTAAGAGATGAATCCTGCTACAGAGATATATAAACAGAGCTAAATGGGCCTATAGGCCTGGACATGTATGTAGGAGTAGGATAGTATGTGGGGGTAGGGGCAAATCTTCACAGGAAGTGGCATTTGAACAGGATTTTGAAGGATTAATAGCAGGTGTTTTCTAAGGAAAGAAGATTAAGAACATTCCAGGTAGAAAAGTCATGCTTTAAGGCCTTGGTTATGATCATGTCTGAAGACAGAAGAGACTAGCAACTGTGTGTGGTGGCTGATGCCTATAATCCAGCACTTTGGGAGGCTGAGGCAGGAGGATCACTTGAGTTCAGAAGTTCAAGACTGGCCTGGCGAACATAGTGAGACCTCATCTCTATTACTTACTAAAAAACAGAGAGCAAGAGAGTGGCAAGAATGAATTTGTCTCCCCCAGTTACAAAACTTACCAAATATTTCATCATTTCAGGCAGAATTGAACTCAAATTCCTTATGAAGGTCATCAAGGTCCTCTATGTTTTGGTCCCTCTTTACTTAAAACCCTATCTCTTATTATGTTTCTTGCCCCTTTGCTTTTACATATCTGCCCCTCTTCCAGTCTCTCAGTTTTCTCTTAACATCCTTCCGGGTCTTACTCTAGTCTCAGACTCCCCACTCATCCTCTCCAGATCATCTTATTTAGAATTTGGTTGTGTTGTGGCAGTGGGGGTGTGGAGCGGGAGGCAGGAAAAACTGAATTTGAAATTGTCTTCTAAAATGTGGGAATAGGAGTTTAATTTGCATGCTGCAAATCCAGAGTACCATGTCAGCAGCTGCCAGGCCAGTGGATAGAGCAAGGACTTGGCAGTGACTTGACCCGGTTTCTCTTTCTGCTGCTGCCACGGTCCGACAGAGTGAGCACGTCTCTTAGCCTTTCCTTATCTGTGAAACGAGGAAGGTGGGCTGAATCTTGGTTTTTTATCCTGTGTCATGGACAAGCTTGATGGACACAAATCCCTGAAACTATATTAAAAATTATTTATGTTCATAAGCCCCTTTATCCTGGAAGGAAAGTTCACTGCTTTCTTCATGTTTTCAAAGCAGTCTGTGACCTAGACAAGATGTAAGCTACTGGTCTAGGTGATTCCTAATATCCTGTCCAGGTCTAAAATGTGAGGATTCAGTGATACTCTATTGAAATTGCTTTTTCAGACAAAATGGCAATGGAATCATTTCTGTTTTGAATGATTTATTTTCCACCTTCTTTGGAATTTGCTTAGTTTATTAGCTTAAGTCTATGATTTTTTATCATAAAAGAGGAGTATTATTTTGCCCTTCAGATATTTTCTCATTATAAAAGCTAAAAAATAAATAAAACATTACATAAATATTTAACATAGAAAGCAAGAGCCCCCCATAATCCTGTCAGGAGGCCATTTTCAGAGACAAAGTTTTTGTGCCCAGCCGTCCAACGACTATGAAATAAAAGTGCTAAAACAAAACAAAACAAAACAAGAAACTCAATGGAAACTTTCTGATGATCTGGAAACCACACAATGTTTGTTATTAGATTGTCACTGTGTGCCATCCTGTAGTATAGCAGAAATAAATATTTCTGAATGAATATGCTAAACAAAAAGAGATTGTGAGGCCGGGCGCGGTGACTCAAGCCTGTAATCCCAGCACTTTGGGAGGCCGAGGCGGGTGGATCACGAGGTCAAGAGATCGAGACCATCCTGGTCAACATGGTGAAACCCCGTCTCTACTAAAAATACAAAAACATTAGCTGGGCATGGTGGCACGTGCCTGTAATCCCAGCTACTCGGGAGGCTGAGGCAGGAGAATTGCCTGAACCAGGAGGCGGAGGTTGCAGTGAGTCGAGATCGCGCCATTGCACTCCAGCCTGGGTAACAAGAGTGAAACTCTGTCTCAAAAAAAAAAACCAAAAAAAAAAAAACAAAAAGAGATTGTGATTCATACCTGTTGCAGTATTTTAAATAATTGATATACTCTTTGAAGTTGGGAAAAATCAGTGTTTTTCTTTTGTAAATTACATCTTTTTTTTTTTTTTTTTTGAGGTGGAGTCTCACTCTGTTGCCCAGGCTGGAGTGTAATGGTGCGATCTCGGCTCACTACAACCTCCCCCTCCCGAGTTCAAGCGATTCTCCTGCCTCAGCCTCCCAAGTAGCTGAAATTACAGGCCATGCCACCACACCCAGCTAAATATATATATATATATTTGTAGTTTTAGTAGAGATGGGGTTTCACCATGTTAGCCAGATGGTCTCAATCTTCTGACCTTATGATCCACCCATCTCGGCCTCCCAAAGTGCTGGGGCTACAGGCATGAGCCACCTCACCCAGCCTATATCATGTTTAAAAAAACATGAGGGACACTATTTAGAGCAGGGATCTGCATACTTTTTCTGAAATGAATAGAGAGTAGGAATTTTAGGCTTGGCAGGCTTTCTCTCTACCACGATGACTCAAGCTTGCTGTTGTAGTATGAAAGCAGTCATAGACAATATGTAAACAAATGAGTGCAGCTGTGTTCCAATAAACCTTTATTTACAAAAACAGGCAGTGAGATGGATTTGACCCATGGGTCATTATTTGCAAACCCCTGGTTTAGAACAACCCTGTCATGAGTTATTCTGCAGTCTTGAAAACAAGAAGCACAAGACAAAGTACTCCCTGTGATTAGGGAACTAGAGTTTCAGTTAAATGTCTGAGTTTTGGATTTTCATGTTTTGAGATGTTTTAAAGTAAGATACAGCTATTTGTAACACCTTGGTTAGACAAAAATGAAAGGTTAGGCATATATATATGAATTGAACAAAATCATTTATTTAGTTGTTTTGTTGTTAGGGTAAAAGTGGCAAATTCTCTCGATTCTTAAGCTTCAAGCATTACCTAGTTGCCAGCTAAAATTTATCAGGGCTTCTTTTGGTAGAGCTTGCACAATTGGCCAGGCACATCATGGACTTTCTCCTCTTCCAAACCATCTGGTTTATGGGCCACTATTAGAAATGTTGTATACATTGTACTAGCAGTGACCTTCGGTCTGGTCTCACCTCTTTTGCCATACGCTGTGTTTCGTCTCTAAAACAGTAAACTGTGATTAATATTCATGTGAAATGCTATTAATGTGCAATCGATCAAAAAAGCAGAAATGTCCAAGTGAGTGGATCTGACCACTGTTTGTTTTCTGTTCACAGTGGCACATTTCAGTACACCCTGGAAGCCACCAAATCTCTCCGTCAGAAGCAGGGGGAGGGCCCCATGACCTACCTCAACAAAGGACAGTTCTATGCCATAACACTCAGCGAGACCGGAGACAACAAATGCTTCCGACACCCCATCAGCAAAGTCAGGGTAGGGGCCACATTTCTCAGATAAAGTACAAAGGAATCCGATGAATGGGATGGCTACCTCACAGCCTTGTAGAGTGGCTTGGAAAAAAAAAATAAAACCTTCAACATAAATAATTCTAGAACGAATGTCAGAGAGTAGGGGCAAGAGCACTTATTGGCTTGTATTTTATCATTGTAATCAGTAACCGTAAACCCAGGGAAGGGACATGTTTGGAACGTGCTATCTGACTGTATCCAAGGAATTTTCCTGCTTCACTCACTGCTTACGTGCTTCCTCATTGTTGTTGTTTTCAATAAATTGATCTTGATTTTTCAAGTTAGTAGCTGTAAGCAGAACCTCTCTGTAGGTGAGAAAGAGCTTTGTTCTATTCTGTAAAGGAGAATACAATTCACTCTGAATCCCTGGGCCTGGTGGAACTTGGTTTAAAAGCCTTCTGCAGCCCAGTGCTTTCTCAGGGTTCCAGAGAGAGGCACGATCCCCACCAGGAGTCACTTAGTGACTTTCAGATTCATGAGTTTTTAGATTCTTGAGTTTTCATCTGAGTTTTCAGATTCATGAGTGTTAGTGCTGCTTGGATGAAATGAAACTGGCGCTCCCTGCTCTGGAAGCCTGCCAGCTTCTGGTGTACTTGCTACTGCCAAGAAGGTGGGGGGGCCAGTAATCCCTCTCTACTGAAAAGGAAAATTATAGCACAGCTCTGGAAACAAGTGGAAGGACTTTCTTCATCTGTTCTAAAGTGATTTATGCTGTTGTGTCCATGATGCCCAGCCCACCTGATTTTAGTCACAGCTCCCTCCTCTTAACCACTTCAGAACACTTAAGAAGGGAGCACATGGCGTGCCTACAGTGCACATAACTCGGGCATGACCCCCAGTGCAGGTGGGGCACAGGTCCCGCACAAGGCTGAACCGCTGCAGTGAGAAATTTGCCTGACATGCTTTGTGCCCATCAGGAGAATTAGTAAGTTCTAACGCTGTGGTCAAGACCCTGGTAGAGAATATGCTATCACAATAATAATAACAAGAGTCATAAAATAACAATTCATATTTATTATCTTCTAACACCAGTCTCTGTATTAGGTGCCAACTGTCTAGTAACTTGTTGAAACTGACAGCGACCCTATGAAAAAGGCACTATTGTTTTTATGATATTACAGATAAGGAAACTTGGTGATAAAATTTCAGAAGCTTGTAACTGGCAAAGCTTACATAGCTAAAAGATGAGGGAACCAGGATCTACCCCAGGCCATCAGACGCCTGAACCCAACTCCCTTTACCATGTGGGTGTGCTGTGTTGAGTAGCATGGAGGGCTGAAATACAGGGAAATGTTAGTCTGGATATATTTCCCTCTGGATATATTTTCTTTTTTTCTGAGATGGCGTCTCATTCTGTCAACCAAGCTAGAGTACAAGGGCGCGATCTCGGTTTACTGCAACCTCCGCCTCCCAGGTTCAAGCGATTCTCCTGCCTCAGCCTCCTAAGTAGCTGGGATTACAGGCACATGCCACCATGCCCAGCTAATTTTTGTATTTTTAGTAGAGGCGGGGTTTCACCATGTTGGTCAGGCTGCTCTGGAACTCCTGACCTCATGATCTGCCTGCCTCAGCCTCCCAAAGTTCAGGGATTACAGGAGTGAGCCACCATGCCCGGCCTCTGGATATATTTTCTATAAATTATATCCTCCCTCTCCTATATATGAGCATCTGGTGAGAAGACACTGAATAAATTTGCTTTTTTTTAAGCCTGTAAATTCCAAGTATGGGTATTACTCACATACACCCTTTTAAACACCGTTACCATCAACCTGGAATAAATGATGGCTGGTTAGTATTCTAAGGTCATGACAACAGTTTGGCATACAGGGACTTTTCCAGGAATTCTGCATTGCTGATATGAAAACAATTTAATAAGAAAATTTTATTTCTGTATGTTCTGTTTTGGCTAAAATGAAGAATTCCCTCCCCCCCACCCTTTAATTTTTAATTACTTTAACCTCCACCCTTGGAGGTTAAGTTGGCACCTCTCAGAGTGGCTCTTTCTTACTCCCTGGCTCTGGGGCAGGAAGGAGGAATGTGCTTGTAACCTACCAGCATTTATTTCTGTGAAGAGTCATAACGAGTCATAATAACATTTCATTCCAAGTTGAGGCATGTAAGGAGTGGTAATAACAGTTTTAAACTGCTTTTTGCTTTATCATTGAAGAAATAAATTTCTATACCAAGAATACGCCATTATTTATGCTAATTTAGACGCTTGCCAGAAGAAATATTACTTTAAATGTTATTTTTATTTTGAGTAGAAATAAATACCAGGAAGCCACACGGTAAACTTTTACACATAAATGGAAAAGCTTGAGAAAGTGGGAGAGGGTAGAATGAAAAGCTGGCTGAGCTCACAGTTGCACCAGCGCAGAGAATGGTTTTCTTTATTGTCATGTACCCAGTGCCCCTGAAGATCACACTGCTTGTGAATTTGCAGTAATACGGATATGTATTTCTTTTCTTTTCTTTTTTTTTTTTTTTTTTTTTTTTTTT